TGTAATGTACTACTCATGCGGTTGGTGAAAATCCATCCACAGCCCACGACTGGTTTCGCCCTTGTTCGGGCTCATCAGGTAGGCGCAGTCCCCGGGTTTCCGTCAACCTTATGTTCTACTTGAAACCAAATTGCACGAGATTAGCGAATATACACTCATCTGCAAACTAATTTGGTTCTTCCGAGAGACTCACCTGGAACCCAGGTGAATCTCTCGTGCTAATCTCGTGCAATTTGGTTTCAAGCAGAACATAAGGTTGACGGAAACCCGGGGACTGCGCCTACCTGATGAGCCCCAAGAAGGGCGAAACCGGTCGTGGGCTGTCGATGGATCTTCAGCAACCTTATCAGTAGTACATTACAAATAGATTGGGAATCACTCTATCTCCAGATCTCTCATCAAGCATGTTTGTGTACAGCATATTCTATATGGAGGCGGCAAGTTTATTGTCACGGTGGTCAGTTTTCAGCCAGTCTGACGATGTATGAGATGTAACCGTCGACCAACTTTCAAGCCCTAATGGCGTTGTGCACATTACTTGTTGCAGAAGCCACAGCAAGCTTGGAGGCAATTGTTTTGATGTGAGCGCTTGGTACTTCCTCAAGGATGGAAAACGGTGGCAGTGCAAGAGGCAATTTATCAAAAAATATCTCCTGAGTTTGCTCCAACGTCTTCCTCGAGCATAACAGAGTACAACGACAATTGGAAGTGAGCAGAAAAGCTACCGATTAAATTTACATTTAAGTGTAGCACTCGATAATATATATTTGGAACCATAAACAGTGAAAATGTTTCCTTTTTGTCAACAGTTAGCCAAAGGATACCATGGACGAAAGAATTATATTCCTACGGGCTTGGATAGCTCAACGCAATCGTTTGTGTATTCTAATGGAAACTTCTTAGAGAAACTGCTTTCCGGGGATTCACGCTTTGTATGAACACTGACCGTCACGTCCGGACGCGGACCTTCACACTGTTACAATGTGGTGAACATTGACTCTATTCTATTCATTCTGTTTAGTGTATTTTTATATGCCTTTGTTTTACGATGCGATATATAGTACGCCCGCGATATACGAAAATATACGATATTCATTCGTCCATATTCGGACTTTTATACTTCGCGTACATTCGGTAGTTACGATACCTACCACTATTCAAATTACCACATT